CAAAAAGCCCCGGTATGCCGGTAGCGACCGTAGTTTCCCGGTATAATACCAGGAAAACCGGTATGGTTGGCTAGTATGCGTTCTTCGGCGCTCCGTTCTTCAAGGAAAGGTTTGCTCCCCACACTGGAGCTCGCGCTATTCCGCCGAGTCGCCGACTTGACTTTTTCGTTCTTTACTTCGCCAACTAACAATGCCATGACCAGATGACGCATGAGTCCTGTCAAGAGTACATAACATGTTGGTACTGTGCAGTACTCACTAGTACTAGTACTAGTAGTAGTAGCAAGAGTACATGAAAACCTTTTCATGTACTCTTGGTAGTAGGTGTACTGTCGCGTACTGTACCCCTCCCCAGGTCCCCATGGAGATAGTAACCTGGTTGCAAGATATGGCGCGACGGCCACACACTGACACAGGTACAGCTGCAGTGCAGGCACACTAGTCACTACCTAGGCCTATAATCGTATGGCTATGGCCAAAATCTCTTCGCAGATACTGAGATAGTGATCATGCATGGTGATGCTTCGAACGAAACCCAGCATGTGCATCACATCAGACTGACTTTAGTTTAGTCCAGACTGAGAGTGAGACAGTGAGATCATGAGAGTCTGAGGCCAGTGAGACTGTCTTCAAGGTCTTTGACTGAATTATTTTTTTAGTCGTCTTGCAGCCGACCGTCGGCGCGATGGCTCGCCTTCGGTACTACCGTGTGGAGGCTGCCGCAGTTACACGACAGAACAGTGCTGAACTCTGTCCATATCCGCAGCAGCAGGGTTGAGTTGCCATGTAGCGGACCGCCGCAAGCCGAGACAGCGAGAACGAGAGTTATTGTTTAGCTAGCTCAGTGGGAGACGCTGGATAGTTTGTACATACTGTGTACAACTCACAACTGAACACGCGAACTTTCTTTGGCGGAATCTCCGACTGGGGCCTCTGTGAAACGCAGCCATGGAGAATCCCCTCAGTAGATCGACTGCGCCTAGTAGTATGGTCAGTAGCACTAACAACAGCAGCAGCAGTCTGAAAAACACGTTTGCCGACCGTCCTGATCAACCGGGCAAGAAGTCCACAACTAGTAGGCGTGCGAATGGCAGCAGCTTACGAATCGAAACGCGGCCATCTAACAAGTCTAGCGACTCTGTTCCTCAGTCTCGAAGTGTCCTTTCACGAAAACAGGCCTGCAAGAGCATGGCGACACGACGAAGTGGAGCGAGCACTGCAGCGAACAGTGCCAGTACGACTGCTACCATGGTCATGTCCAGCAGAATACGACAGAATGAAGCTGGCAGCAAGAGGCAGCAGTACGAGGACTTGGAGAGACAGTTTCTAGAGCGCGTTAGGCAAGCACAGGTTGCTGAGGATGCCAACAAGATGGGTCGTGGTCAACGACTGGGAGCGACTGCCGATACCACGCAGATGCATGTGTCCACTTCATCGGGTCATATTCGTCGGGATGCCTGGGAGTCGTTTGGATTTGAGCGACAGTTACACCTTGCAAACATGGTGAGCCATAGCGGAAGTGTGACTGAAGGGCAACCTACTGCTCACTTGAAAGATATTCGACTGTTGAGAACCGATGGCGATGCCGACACGAAGGCTGAAACAGATGGCCCAAATGTATCTTTCGACCCCCATCAAAACCATGCATATCAATGGAGGTCCCGTTATCTCGCCCGGCGAAGATTTGTGCAAGCCGCGTGGAAGGTGATTTTCCGCCTGAGGGCAGATCGCGTTATTGCGCAGCTACTGGGATCAGTGGAGCAAGAAGACCAACTTGCAAGAGGCGACCGCGTGGAAGAGTTTGGCAATGCCGATGCGGACATGCTTTCCGACGCCATTGCATCCATGTCTCGGAGAATATCAACCGAGCAGTCTCTCCATGTTGCCGAGTTCACTCTTCAAGAATGTGCCACTGGGTCTGAGAGTGCTCCCCTGGCAATTGCCCCCAGCTCTGATGCACCGCTGGTGTGGCATTCGTTGCAGGGCGGCTTTGAAGATCTACCGCCTGCTCTGTGTCCTAGCTTTGATAGCCTATATGAACATGTTATAGATCATATAGTGCCGTTGGAGCTTGACCTATTCTCTGGATTCTCCAGACCAGCTATAGGCAAGAGTCCAGCGATGGGCAAGAGTGATTTTTCACCAGACACCGTTCTGCTGGAAAAGACAAGCGCCGGAGATAGCAACGCTGCCACAGGTGAACATGCAAGTGGGTGTGAGTTGCTTCGTATGCCTGCAGCCTTCACACAGTCTCTCCAGATGCCCTCCCTGTATGCGTTCGACCCAGCTGGCCCCGAGCACCAGAAATTCTCTGCGCCGATGCCGTTCACAGAGCTGGACCCAGCCTACGAGCTGTTACACCCTGTTCGGCGGCTGAAGACCTCGGTAACTGATGACATTGACCGCCTGCTGAAGTTCCAGCACGAGACCGTGTGTGGTCTGACGATAACAGGGTGCACGCCGCCACTCAGTGCCGTCAGTCTGCCCAGGTACTCAGCTCGCTTTCACAGTGACCTTTTCCCGGCGCCACTTGAAGAGCAGCATGGCCTGTCGGCTGAGGATGCTGAAGTGCTTGACTGCACGGACACCGTGTTTGATTCAGGAACAGTACCCATACAGGAACAGATTGAACTGGAGCAAGTACATGTCATTCCATCATGTGTGTTGGAGCCGGATGAGGAACATTCACTGCTAGTCAGCTCAGCACATCAGCTTCCGGCCGCAGCGAAGCGCGAGGACATTGAGCGAGCGTTGATGAAGCAGTTCACAGAGGGCAGCAACCGCATCGGGACCGGCATTGAGAAGCGACTGGCGGAGCATGCAGCTACAGCGCGTACTTGCTCAGCAAGTTCTCTACTCTAGACCGACACCCGGCTGTATACAATGTTGGTCTTGATCCGTCTCTAGACTCTAGGTGGATTGCACTACCTGCTGCTGAAATGCTATTGTGTGAGTACTGATTTGTTGACATAGTATTATAGAATGTGTGAGTACCAATACGGTGTCTGTATCTTGATAGACTTGATTGTTGACGGCACTGAACTACTGCCATTGTGTTCCGGCATGATTTTTTCGCGGCATTGATCTGATGAAAACAACCATCACCATCATCATCATCATCATCATCTTGCCTCGCATGTGTAATAGGTGTAATGCGTGAACATGTGATCCACTCGTGAATGTGTGGCTACACAGATAGGCCAGTTGCCTAGTGTCGGAAGTTCATGCATGAGAGGTGCCATGAACAGTGTGCAGCTGACTGAGCCTCAGTTGCCATTGGTCGTGCAACCTCTTCGACGTATGCATCATGCCATGTACATACCAAGAGTCCCACGGCGCAGTTTTTGGTTTCGGTCTTAGTGACTCACCTTTGCTGCATCTCGCATGGTTCACATGGTCATTTTACCGTATCACTATCAAGAAGGCAATTTCGTCTGCGCATTGCTGCTTAGAAAGAAGTGGTGAGCACACATGCTCTTTCCCTGGGCACTACAATTCCCTGGGCACTACAAATTCACAACTCAGTTCACTTTACTGTATATTCATAATCGGCAAATTGCCATCATCATCAGGATGTAATATACTTGTCAAACCACTGGCATCCCTCCATACAAGGTACAATGAATGAGGCATGCCCAAATGCAATATGCACTGTGTTACAAAACTGTCGATGATACAGTGAACTGAGTTGTGAATTTGCAGTGTCCATGGAAAGAGCATGTGTGCTCACCATTTCTCTTTGAGTTATGAAGCTGCAGGACGCCTCACCCATATTGCGTACATTGCCGCTTGTCGTACAAAAGGTGTAAACGCTTGTGAATTTCCCGTTTCCCTTACAATTGTAGTTATCCGGTGATTTATCACTGAACCTATACGGTATGATGCGTTTTCTATGATTCATGATGACCTAAACAAACAAAATTCGCCGTGGGATCGGTTTTATGCGGCATACGGTACTTCAAAGCAGATGCGGAGCTGCACACTCTGGTTTATGTACTCTTGCTTCTACCAAGAGTACATGAAACCCAGATTGTGCAGCTAGCTTCCGACTTTTCTGCATGGGTATCTATCAAGGTGAAATTCCGGGATTACTTCATATTTTGTGCAGATCTGAGGCGGGAAGTGGCGTACTAGTATTATACTGCGTACAACTGAGTTGATGTTGCGCATGAAGAAACATGCTTGACTGCTGCAAGTACGCACTACATCATTTTAAAAGGATGTAATCCCGGAATTTCACCGTGATGGCAACCCATCAGAGCTGCACAGTCTGGGTTTCATGTACTCTTATTCTACTATTTTGGCTTGTGAGCAACACTGGCTCACACTCAATCACTGCTTTTCACAAAGAATCCTGATGATGGTTATTTTTTTGACCGAAATGTTGAATTGAAATTTTTTTCTGAAATGAATTTGTGAAAAGCAGTGATTGTGTGAGTCAGTGTTGCTCACAAGCCAAATTTTACTTATGAAGCTGCGTGATGCGTCCTACAAGATTTCTTATACTACTGCCAAGAGTAAATAAGCCTATTATATGCTGCTACTGCTAGTACGTGTACCTGCTTCGCAGTAAAACCAAAAGTACACGCAACTCCAAATACATGTAATGTAAAAGGACACGTTTGAAGAAGTTGGCCACTTGCAACGCGTGCATGGAGCTAACGTTAGCTTATTGCAAGATAGCGATGAAAAGTATGAATGCCGCAGACATCACCACGCAACATGACCATTTTGTTAGAGGTTTGAAAATTGTGTGTTTCCAGAATATTTCAAGCTCCGATCATCAGTGGAAACACGGAACTACAGTAAAGTGATCAAGGGAAAAAAACAAAGGTTAAAAATCCAAATAATTAAATTTCAAACCTCTAACAAATTGTCATGTTGTAGTTGGTGATGCATTCACACTTTCCATACTTTTATCTCCACGTAGATTATTAATTTTATTGCAAGATATTCATGCATACCTTTTCACGTTCAGCCAAGACATACTAGAGCACAAGTACAGAAAATCGAATGTTATCGTCAAACGCAGTGTAACCAACCACAATGGGAATTAGTCAAACTATTATTTTGTCTCATTCACAAAAAGACTACATGGAAGGCTCAAGCAATTGACAATGGAGCAGCTGCAATGTCAATTAAATATTGCGTGCAGGTGAGAAAAAAGCTGTATAAAATACCAAAAAGGAGAAGATGTGTGGACGTTGACGCAAAAAGAAGAAAGAAATCTACTTCGCCAGAGCACAACTCAGCAATTCTAACCACTACGTGCATATATACACAGGTCAACCAGCAACACAACAAACCTGAGTTCAAAAAAAGGCAAGGAATGCTGAAGAAGGAAGACCCTTTGAAGAGAGAGAGAGAGAGAGAGAGAGAGAGAGAGACACACACACACACACACACACACACACACACACACACACACACACACACACACACACACACACACACACACACACACACACACACACACACACACACACACACACACACACACACACACACACACACACACACACACAGGGCAACAAGAAAGAGAACAGCTCAGCGGAGATCAGCTCAACAAAAGTTTCATGCAACACATGGGGAAGTTTTTGTGGAAATATAAAATATGACTTTTTTATGCGGAGAAATCCACTCCAGAGGTTGAAGTAATTTTCAGGTGAATTATTAGTATACTCTGCGGGTGTACGCCACAGATGTGTGTACCGAGTTTGCGCGTGTATGCACACACAAACTGTGCCGAAATAAAGTCTGGAATAAAAATGACTAGATTGCTCAAGATGGCCACAGCAAAAAAAAAGAAAAGGACCAGTATGACAGGATAATAGCATGAGTGACAATTTGAAAGAAATCTAATAAAAACCGAAGAAACAAAAATGATATTGAGCGACGGTGCTCAAGTGGGAAGAGTGCTGTCTGCTGCTACCTGCCGGCCAGAAGACTGGACTGTTCAGACTTTCTGTCAAACACAAGAGTGACATCGTCCTCGTCTTCCGTCACACACTCTCCTGCATGGCTGTGTTGTTGATCATACACAGCCCGGTGGTCGCCGTTGGCACGCTGAAGACACACATGACAATAACACATGCACATCATACACACAGGTCAATAGTCCACAACCCGGTCAGCTTTACAGAAGCATTTCATTTTGTCCCAGCAAACTACTATGTCTTTTTAGATAAACATATTTTACTACACGGAAGCTGTAACATGCAAGATGTGGAAGCATTGAAAACACAATCAATCAGAATACATCTACACGGATATACATTAGGCATGGAAGTTGTCCAGACGCATACATCATCATATTGATAGGAACAGAGAGCAGGTACCCCCCGTGAAGAATGACACAGTGAGTGGAGCAGTAGAGCTGAACCATGGCAATACCGTACCGGTGCACGAAAGGACGCCGCAAGATAGTCAGGCGCTATCGTCGGAGATCGGGCTGGCGATTTGCTTCCCGACGTCCTCCCGTTGCCTAGTCCCTGTTGATCCTCCACGATGCAGAGCTCTTTGCCTTCCTCATCTGTGTTGGGGTGCTGTACATAGGGCTTGTACCGAGGGTCAAAACTGCATGGACAGCAAAATACAGTAAAATACAGTAAAATACAGTAGACTGCACTTGGCAATGAGCAAGCAAGCTGCTGTAAAGGGACATACGTTTGAAAAAAAAAGAAAAAAGAGCGACACACCGAAACGGCCATGAGCCGAACAAACGGACACAAGTCAGTCATGATGCGTGTGTGTGCAGTTGGGAGGTCTTGAACCCGTCCTGAAGAGCAGATACTCATACATGCAATGCATCTGGGCAACATTTCTCAAAACATTGTGCGTGTGTGTGTGTGCGCGCCTGTGTGTGTGTGTGTGTGTGTGTGTGTGTGTGTGTGTGTGTGTGTGTGCCTGTGTGTGCCTGTGTGTGTGTGTGTATGTATGTATGTATGTATGTGTGTGTGTGTGTGTGTGTGTGTGTGTGTGTGCGCCTGTGTGTGTGTGTGTGTGTGTGTGTGTGTGTGTGTGTGTGTGTGTGTGTGTGTGTGTGTGTGCCTGTGTGTGTGTATGTGTGTATGTGTGTGTGTGTATGTGTGTGTGTGTGTGTGTGTGTACTCATGTTCAGCTTGAACACTACCACCCACCTGCGACGGATATCCGAGATAACATCAGTCGGATTTAGCGTGTCAGTGAAGTTTTTCACGATTTTCTCTTTTTGTCTAAGTCCTCCCGCGGACGGGGCTCGAGTTGGAAGCTTCGGCTGCACAAAACACATTACAGTAGATGTAGATGCCGTCAAACTATTATGTTACCAGTTGCATTGTTGATGAGGATGAGAAAACCGAAAAGACACTCAAGTATGCCAAGCAGCCCGCATGCCCTGCCGTGCGAATAGCGCAGCCAGAAACCTGGTAGCTGCGTCCGCGCCACCAGCCCGCTGTGCTGCTGGCGACAAGTACTGGACAAAACATACAAGCACTGTCTTCAGCGCTACAGTGCAATGCAAATGCTGCAGAAGGGCAAGGCCAATGGAACAAATACCAAGCCTGATACCCAACATACTATGCTGGCCAAACAACAACAACAACAACAACAACAACAACAACAACAACAACAACAACAACAACAACAACAACAACAACAACGTGAGAATAAAGAATTCAAACATCAGCAGCACACTGGCCATACCTCTCCGGACTGGCAGTACGGCGTGACAGGAAATGACCTGTGAAGCATCAAGGCAGCTATTGCCATCTCCATGCAGATGAGAAAGTTCTGTATACCCTTGGCAAAAGCACCATTGCCGTGCCGTCCAAACATGTTAAAGTATTGTGCAACGGAAAGGAAAACACCTGTACAGCAAACACACAGAGCAAAATATGAACAAATGGACAAAGCGACAATGTCACCTCTTTGAAGACTCATCACAGTCATACTACACATTGGATAACCATTCCCAAACATGATAGTGGAAAACAAGCGTGAACTTGCAAGCTGCAGAAAGCAGCCCATTGTGATATTGCTTACATACATGTGCGTATACACTGTGATTGCTCTCCAATCTGAAGGCCAATTTTGAAAATCGATAACATGGGTCACACGTCATGCATCATTTTCTGATAGCAGGGTGAATGAAAAGGAACTACAGTCCATTCATCGGAAACAGTCCCGTTAGCTTTTGAAAGTCCGATTTGGGCCGAATTGACGATCAAAAACCCATTTTAAATCTCAAAAATCTGGGTTTGGGATCTGCTTCTCCACACACTTTGCCATGGCATACCTGTCCCAATTTTGTAAAACTAACTTGGCTGAATTTCTATCTCCCTGTTCTTGGACTTTTCTGGGCTCAAATGTGGCAAGGAGTAATTGCACGGGTGCAGGATGTACTGTTGTTGTCACGATATCTACCACTATGTGCGGGAGACACCAAAAAGTTAAGGTGCCAGTTTCCAATGAATGGACTGTTGTAGACAACAAGGTCAAGTGGCTTTAGGACTACTCACCTTGCCAAAAGGAGAGGAAAATGATAAATTTGACAGTAATGAACTTCAAGACAGGGTCGTATGGCTTCAGGAGATCACGAGTGGCATAGTAGAATAGAATGAGGGCATAGAGTGCCAGGGAAATGGAAAAATTATACACTATAGTCTGATAGAGATATCCTTTGGACGGTCTGCAAGAAAACAAAGCGAGAAAAGCAAGCACGTAGTTAATTGTGGCTTAAAATATAGAATGTTGGCAAATAGCACAGAGATTACAATTACGAAGCACAAGCAGAATCCTTTTAGCTTGAAGTAAATTGCTACCGTAAATTAAATTCACATAATATTATATGCCATCCCGTAGAACTATTGTTGATGTACCTTTCTTTTTCTCACATCAATGTACTGTACCAGTTTTATCTTCCTACTATCTCTTCTCCTTTGTGACCACGGCTGGCAAACACCCACATCTATTTAGGATCGTCGCAAACGTTTTGTCGTCGTCCCTGAAACAAACATCGTTCATTTCATACTCGATCCCCTCGCCACCGTCCGAAATGAATGCGGCTTGCTATGCTGAGCGACGAAAATCGCATGCATATGCACAGTGTCGGTTGACCTGCGATTTTGGCTCGCACTCCCTCCCCCAAATGAATGATGTGCGTTTCAGGGGCGACCAAAAACTTTTGTGAGGACCCCTTATATCGGCCCCTGCCATTGGACGGTGAGTACCTAAATAAATTCAGCAGCTAGTCCAGATGGAGGCAACACCATGCCATTTGGGTACTTACTCCCAGTTGCCTTCGCTATACTTGTTGTCCGCTTTGAGAATAATAGTGATGATGGCCACAATGGGTTTCACAAAACAGAACTGCAAAGTTGCCTAAAGAACAAGAACATCACAGGCAAACAGTAGACAGATAATGCGTTATACATAAGGATTGAATGATTCCCCAACAGTCCCAGACCCCGAAGTCCCATAGATTTTCGATGAATACATTATTCGCACATGTACCGTATTTTTCCGGTTGTAAGTCGACCTTTTACGACTAAAAATAGAAGGAGAAAGGGTGGGGGTCGACTTACAACCGGGATTCGACTTATAACCGGGAACTATCAGAATCTTACAAAAAATGACCTGCCCTGCATGCATGAGTGAGTGCACCATGTGTACACATGTTTGCCAGTTTATTGGCCTTTTTCAAGGATTGGGACGTTATACCCTCCAATAAGGAATGTTTACATGATTTGTTGATGTGTTAGTAGCAGGGAGTGGTTGGTAGTGCTTCGTTGGGTGAAAACGTTAAAACGCAGAATTGAGACCTCCGGATACGGGGGTCGACCTATAACCGGGGTCGACTTACAACCGGTAAAATACGGTACTCTGCTAAGATGCACACATTGCGTATGACATTCTGCCAAGCCTGGCCCTTGAAGAGCTGGTCTCGCATGCCACACACTGAACGTGCTGTCAGACTCTAACCACCAGGGCACTGAACACTGAATACACCACTAAAGCTTGGGAACCGGAACAAATGTATGTACTTTTGTAGTACCGAATCTCCAGACAGCTAGCTGGGCTCCACTGTGTTGACACACATCTTTTCAACTGCAACCTAGTGATGTGCCTTTGCTTAGTGTACAGTATCATTCTATTATATAGGGGTGAATTGAATATTCTAAGTCGAAAAGAATCGAATATTTTCTAAACGAATCGAATATTGAATATTAGATTTACGTTCGGGCCTGATTGGAAATTTTTATTTCCATTGCTATCAGGTTCGGCCTCATTCCCTCTGTGCTGCGCTGACGAGTCCACAAAGGACGAAACAGTTCTGTCCGCAGATTGAGAATATTAGATTTAAAAAATCCTACAGAGTTTGGCTATTCTCCGATCGCTGTAGACCAGGAAGACAGGTAATCCTTGCAAGTCGTATGGTCCCCTTTCCCAACATACCGACCACAGCGCTCTACTGAGTACTATAGTGTACTCCAGGTGTGACTTGCACGCGGGTTATGCTCTCGCATTCCAAACTTTCAAATGCACACAGACCTGGTACCTGTCTGTTAAAGTACTTGGCACATGCAAAAATGTCGAAAACCAAAATATTAATTCGAAGTACTGTAAACCGCCCAATATTCGCGTCATTAAATTTTCGCGATTTCTCAGAGCCAGTGAGTTTACATTGGCAAATTTTCGCGGAACACTGTGGGCACACTAACCTGCTTGCAGAATCTCAAGAAGCCACTGCTGTAGCGCATGGATGACAAGCAACATGTGCCCGTCCACCAGTTACCCCTGTGCAACACACACGCATACACAGAACACGACAAATCAGCGCACAGCATGTGAAGTTGTGCATGGCACCCACTGAGGAAAGGCACTCACATCACTCACGCATCCGTCGCAACAGCAAAAGGACACCCAAAATAACAGTGCTGCACAAGCGACTTGCGTTCAGCCTGCTGAGCAATGAGGCAATGTGCTGAGTAGCATGGTGTATGGTGGATCTATAGTGCACTAACCTGACGGGTAATCCATCGATAAACGAAAGGATTTTCCTATCACCACCTAGATATTCAAAGCACAACGTCAGGAAGTTGTAGATGACGAAGGCTGGACACACAAACAGGAAAAAAAGAGATTGCTGAGTCACAGAAATCACCAGTATGCATGCATTACAAGCAATACCAGCTGAAATTCAGTGAACACAGGAGCAAAGAAAATACAAGTGTCCAAAGTGAACATCAAAGATTTCTATGATATCAGTTACTGTACAACTAGGGATGAAGCAGCTAATAGTGAATTTAAAAATGTTCAAATCCTTTCAGTTTAACACCAGTTCAAGAATACTCAAATAGGAAACGTCAAATGAGGGCTGTCTCAACCCGTGGCAGCAGTATCTCATCAATAGCAGGGGTGAGCCAGGACTCCTACGAGGATGTCTCAGGATTTTCAAAAATGCATCTCTAGTGTACGTAGAGTGGTCCAATATAGACCCTATGCCGGTTAGTACTAGTTGTACAGATCCACGAAATCCCGTAGAATCCCGTAGACCCGGTTGGGTGTTCATTGTGTGCTATGCATGTGCATTTGACCTCTTAGCCTCATAATTTATGGGCAAGAATCGCTTTTCCAGCTTCTTCACTTTGGTTAGAACTAATGACTAGCTACATCTTTGTCAGAAAAAGGATTTCGTATGAAATTCCTTCAGGGCCCATTTCTTAGTGGAAATAGGAGAAAACACAATAGGGTCCTGCACATTCAACACCCAACCGGGTCTACGGGATTTCGTGGATCTGTACAACTTGTACTAACCGGCATAAGCCTTATTCATTCATCCCTTGACTTGGTGTTCGGCAGTTTGTGAAATATGCTGTTCGTTCTATGACCAGTAAAACCAGCCGTTATTCAGCAGAAAGAGTCTGCTTCCAAGCAACTTCACACACAGTGATCAAGGGAAGGAACATGGAAATGGCCTAAGGAGACAAATGCCACCTCTCTCTCTCTCTCTCTCTCTCTCTCTCTCTCTCTCTCTCTCTCTCTCTCTCTCTCTCTCTCTCTCTCTCTCTCTCTCTCTCTCTCACTCACCTTCATAGCAATCCCGGACCGTGTCAAAGTAGATGTAATCATTATAAGAGAGAAGGCTCAGCCATGAAGCCAATCCATAGATAGGTACAATAAAGAGGATGCGCACGATGTAGCGTTGCTCATTAGGCTGGTTGTAGTTACGTAGGTGTGATACAATCTGTTCAACACACATCATCAGACGGATGAGATAGAGAGAGAGAGAACGAAAGAGAGAGAGAGAGAGAGAGAGAGAGAGAGAGAGAGAGAGAGAGAGAGAGAGAGAGAGAGAGAGAGAGAGTTGATTAGTTAGTGAGCTGAGGTCAAATTACTAGGCGTACCTTGGTCTGCTGTTACAAACAGACAAGATGAGCCATGACCATTAGTGACCTCAGTACAATGTACGGTCCCCCAAATATAGCATGCACAGTAGTCTGTGTAGGATCTGATCTGCACTCACCTTCCACTGTGAGTACCGTAAAATCCCGCCAGAGCGCCCCGTCTCTCCCATCCGCCCCTCCCTGACTTCTTGTCAGGGACGTGATTGATTGTATTCTCGTATGACTCTGTCACAGTCTGTGATGCCGTACTGTACTGCAGACGCGTGCTCAACCCCGTTGGAAATGTACGCAACAGTGCCCACCCTCTTGACCAGGGATCGCACAAACCCTGAGTTTTGATGGGTCTGTACGACTCCTGGCTCTTGACCTTTGGTCGATGTACGAGATGCACGAACAGTTTTCGTGAGGCGAGTACTTTTTCATGTAGTACTGAATGCGGCAAGTAGGACTCGCCCATCCGCCCCTCCCCACATGAAGCGTCGAGGAGGTAGGGGCGCTCTGGCGGGATTTTACGGTACTAGCAAGAGTACGCTCCCAAGAGTGCGCAACTCTGCACATGGAGTCTCGAACTGCGAACCCCACAGGAAATCCATACAGAGCTGCACACTCTCGTGGGCTTATTTTAACTGTTATTTACTCTTTGCACTAGTAGTGCCGAAGTATCTGCATGGAGCTTATGCATATCATGAAGGCCTGACACCTCCGCATTACTGATGACAACAGCTAAGCACAGCTGCTGGGCATTGCCGTTACCGGTATATCCCAGTGCTGGCATTACAAGTACATGTCTATGAACAGAACAAAGCCTGGGAAAGTACTGTACACGTACATACACTAAGCACAGCCTGAGATTATAAGAAAGAGAGGAAGTCTATGTACATGTATGTACAGTTGTAGGATTGGCTGCACAATCATGTACTGTACTGGCACGCATTGTCCGAAATGGACAGTGCCTTTATGACAGACTATCCATTGAGTGAACATTACAAAGTGGATTTTCGCGCTACAATTTTTCAACCGTGATGTTGAAATTTAGGATTGGTAAAACACAGGGAAAAAGACAAGTACAGTTGTGGCAAGTGAAATCCGACACTTGCCATAGGGGACAGCGCCACAAATGGACACCAATGATGTAATGCACTGCACCTAATTTGTACTATAGAGCCGTATGCATCCCAAACAGATCGAAAGGTCACAGCGTAGATACACACAGTTCACAGTCATGGTACACATAAGGAGTATTGGTATCCAGTCCCTATTAGGCCCAGACAGATTCTGCTCCGCTTGCCTCGATATTTTGCCACAAAATGTTGCTGCGAAATCTTCGATATTTTGCCGAGCCTGGCACAAGAAACTCGATATTTTGCTCCATTTTGCTCCTAAAAAACGTGTATTTTATCCACTGCCCGCACAATCCCGTACAAAGTTTCATCAAAATCGCAGGGTCGGTTTCTCAGCACGGGTTTCCACGCACGTGTCCCTGAGTTCTTCAAAAATCACGTCGATCCACAGTGAATCCCAGTGATATTTCGGTGACACGATCTCGTCCTAGATCCTGGGCAGTGTATCCTGCTGAACGGGTAAGAAACAAGGAAATCCAAGTATCAGGCATCGATTTTACCCAACATCTCGATATTTTGCTCCAATTTTGCCGGCAATTTCCGCTCTTTCAATTCTTCGATATTTTGCCGAAAGAATTGCCGGCAGGATCTGTCTGGGCCTAGTCCCTATTCATTTTTGCCAGCACCTTTTGAACCTTGACTGTGATGAGTACGAGTTTTGTCATCAGACAGATAAAGTTGTATGTAACACATGTACTACGTATGCAGGGCTGCAGACTGCATGGTGCAGTCCCATGGTGCAGTCCCTTATGCCAAGTGTCGGATTTCACTTGCCACAACTGTACAAAGATTGTACGAATAGAGTTGCTTCGCACCAATCTGCACACCAATGCTAAAAAACACACGACACTTAAAAATAAGGCACGGTCTATTGCATACTGTAAAAGCCATTATTCTAACGAGGCGCATATATAACGATTTCCTAAAATTGACTGGTTTACGTGCACCAAAGGCAACGATTCTCACTCCTTCTCAACGCTCAATAGCAACAGTATATGTATCGATTTCTGTATAACGATTTCTATTTTAACGACAGATTTCTCCTCGTTAACTCGTCAGAATTAGCACTTCGTTATAATTATAATATGGCTTTTACAGTACTTCACATTATTGTATGGAGGTGCATCTACACAAAGTTCCAAGAATGAAATGCATGTAAGAATTGAACAACATGGTGAGCCTAGAGATGTGTACAAGCTTCTGCTCCCAGACATAATGCTGGATGTGTGTGTGTGTGTTCGGGGAGGGGGGTGTACCGGGTAGTGATTGTACTAATGCATATACATGATGTAATGCTACAAAGGCCTTTGCCTGGAAAGTCCAAGAACACTGGCCTCTGCACCCATAAAGGGCCATAAGCATTTTAAGGTCCGGTGTACACCCATACTATAATGTACTAAATGACCTCTCGACTCTGCCAAAAACAGCGACTTTTTACGTACACATGCTATTTTGTCTGCGGAAGCAATCGTAGTCGGCATACGGCTCTTACCGGGTAGTGATTGTACTACCGTATTTCCCCGTTAGTTAGTTCTCCCCAATGACTTAGTACCCCCCCTATAAAAAATACACTTTCCACTGCCGAGGTTATCACCCCGAAATGCTATTTTGTCTGCGGAAGCAATCGTAGTCGGTACATGGCTTCTAGGCTGCAACTAGCAACTGTCAACAAACGCAGCCCTTGACATAGGCATCATCATGGTTAATGTTGTGTTATCCATAGAAAAGGTTATCCGTAGAAAAAATAAATTTATAACTCTCTCCCTAGCTCGTACACTGCCGTGTTCGGAGTTGCCAAGGGCAGCTACGCGAATCGAAAACTCTGTATGGCGGAACACGGATCCGCTTGCAGTGCACGCGAATGAATGGTCTTGGTCCAAGGAAGCTGAGACACTCCATTCCTCCTTTATTTCCAATCGAACTCGCGCACTTCCACCGAAACTGGGTGACTGCGCCCCACTAGATGGGGATTTGTATGCAAAAAGGCACTAAAAGCGCCGTTTTGTTCTTATAAAAGCACGGATGACCGCGATTGGTACATATGTTGTAGTCTTTTGGACGCGAAGTCAACTGGTTTTAGTCCGAAAAGGCTGCGATGCAGCGTTCGACATGAATTCCCAATCGAACACGGGTGAGTAAGCGGTCACGTACTCATGCGTACACCAATTGCCTGGGCACCGTGCCTGCAGGCTACACCTAAAGGCAGCGGATCTCTCCGTGGAGAGCGCTTTCCAAGCTGCAGGAGATAGACTACTGTAAAAGCCATATATATATAACGAAGTGCTAACTCTAACGAGTTAACGAGGAGAAATCTGTCGTTAAAATAGAAATCGTTGTACAGAAATCGATACATATACTGTCCTATTGAGCGTTGAGAATGAGTGAAAATCGTTACCTTTGGTACACGTAAACTAGTCAATTTTGGGAAATCGTTATATATGCGCCTCGTTAGAATAATGGCTTTTACAGTAACTTGGCTTGACACTGTTGACAGATGCGTCGACTCTGCTCCTGTCTAACAGGTTCACGGAAGATGCGAGCTGTGTGTATTATTATTATCACTCTGGCACAGTACGTTCGGGCCTGGTTTAAATCTGCCTTTGGAAAATTTATTTTTCATTGCTATAAGGCTTGGCTTCATTTCCTCTGTGCTGCGCTGATGAGTCCATAAAGGACGAAACAGTTCTGTCTGCAGATTGAGTATTATTATTATTATTATTATTATTATTATTATTATTATTATAACTACACAAAGGCACACAATGAAAACCTTGGCAAATTTATTCCGTTGTGACTCCGAGTTTCATGGCTGAACCAATCATCAGACAAGGATAATGGAATAGGAGGCAGCGCTGGTATATCTAAGTGGAGAGAGGTGTGATAATACGATAGCGAGTACTACACAGTACTAAATAAAAGGGGGTTTGTCAACTGACAACCACTCTATTTAGTTGCTATTCACTCTTTAGATGAAAATTCTTTTTATTAATGATGTTGAAAAATTATTGACGTTACTGATGGTGCCAATCACGTATGGTGTAGTTTCGTTCCACTTTGTGTTGCCTGATATAGGTCCACCTCACTTTTTTTCTCCTCAATCCTGATGATGGCTCCTGGCCGAAAATTTGATTGAGATAATTATTGTGATTTGCAGCGCAGAGACCACTAAGTCTTGATTTGAAGATGGTGTGTGTGAAGTTTTCACAGTGCTAATAAGGGTTACGAAAACGCAAGATATTCAGGCACACTCCCCAGTCTATACAGTAATACATCTTACCTGGTGACATGTTATGATCAAGGCCAGGAAAACAAATGCACCAGATATTCCTTGGGCCGATGGTGTCCGAAGAAACTCCGTGGTGACGTTAACTCCAGCCAAGCTGGATACCTGGCCAGAGGAGGAATTGCGGCCTGAAGCCACGATGGAAGAAGATGACAGGTCTCAGGAGAGAAATTCAGGTGAGTACGAGTAAGTTTGGCCAAGGTTTACCGGATCCAACGCTCCGTGCGCACGATGAAAGATCAAGAGAGCAAACAATTGTACAAAAATATCGAATTTTGGTGGATCAGACGTTGCTTCCTACAAAACTTCAAAAGTCA